GAACATGTACCCTTATGTGTGTTGTGGAAGTTGCTACCAGAGCCTTGATTTTGTATTCGGCGCAAGCAGTCCTTTTCCTCAGGCGACACCGGTACGAGAGGTATCCTCCATGTAGCCCAGAACCTCGATTTTCCTGCCATTGGCAAAACTTTGTCAACATAACTGTAAGTAGTTTTCTATACATAACCTACGTGTGATAATGGATTCAGATAATTTACATATTTACAGTGTGCAAGAAGCGCACCACGTTAGAGCATATTAGCTGTATCAATTAGCTGTATGTGTATCAAAAGAAATTATTCACGAACACGTGACGAAAGAGCCGTTCATGAACTATCGTTCTCCTGAGCGTCGTTCGATAGGGATAATTATATACGTTTATTGATATAAATGCTTTAACGCTTCATGCATACATTTTGAAATTATATGTAAAAGAACATTTTATTTTGTGTTGATGAATTAACGCAGTACAACCTAGTAGTAAAGATGAGAAACAAGTTATTATTGAAATTGTCGTGCTAGAAATGACTTATTGACATAACGAAATTCTTATAATGATTGATTAAGTTTGTGTGTCATCATCCTTCCGATCGACACAAGTCTCCAGGGATCTATTCCTCGTAGAAACCATGTCGGTTTTGGGTCTTCTGATATAGCAATTAAATCTTAATGTTTGCCCGGGTCAGTTAGATGGTGACCCTAGTTAATAATGAAAAGAAAGTGTAGTGGAAGGAAACCATGTTGGTTTTGTTATAACCGGATAAAGAAAGTCTGGTGAAGTAACCTTTATTATTTCATCGTTTGCTTTATTCGAAAATGAGTATTAGAAATAAGTGTTGAAACCGTAGAAATTAAATATCATGTATTTTGAAGGATATATTGATAATTTCATTTATAGCCGTAAGAGCGGACAAGAACGTTCTTCACTACTAACGTGTAGCACGCTGAGCGTCGTCGAATTAGCATCCAAGCATCGAATCGTCGAATTAGCATCCAAGAATCGCCGAGACATTATATCCGGGATCTTGAAGCACGTGACCGATTGCCGTAACGAGCGATTACGGGACATCAACCTTCACAAGTCTCCAAGCATCGAATCGTCGTAGGAACTATGTCGGTATTTGATCTTCTGATATAGCAAATACTAAGCAAAAGGCTTTCGCCTTATTTCGGACAATTGTCTTCATTTCGGACACTTTAAAAACTGGGAAGTTAACTTGTACGAATTACACTCGTGGCCATTGGAATAATTAAATGACTGCTGGCGCGGATCCAGGGGGGGGGGCCGAGCGGGCCTTGGCCCCCCCCCCCCCGCAAAAAAAAAAAAAAAAAAAAAAAGAAAGGAAAAGAAGGGAAAGGGAAAGAGGAGAGAAAGGGAAAGAAAGAAGAGGAGAAGAAGAAAAGAAAAGGGGGAAGAAGGAGATCGGGGGGGGGGGCGAAAGGCCTTGCCTCCCAGGCTGTTGACCCCAACCCCCCCCCCCCCCCAAAAAAAAAAAAAAAAAAAAAAATAAGAGAAAAGGAAGGAAAAGGAAAGAAAAAAGGAAAAGAAGAGATACTGGCGTACTGATGGGGGGGGGGGGGGGCTTGGGGGAAATCAAATTCAAACATGGTTTATATCTAATTCCACAACGGTGGATTACAAATAATGCTGAAATGACATAATTTCCGAGATTTTTCCTCACTTTTTAGTAAATTATGTATGTGTTTGTAATGCAAGAAATATGATTCTTGAGATTCCTACATGTCAGGGCCCGAGGTACGGCGGGGATCAGGAGCCCCGAGCTCCCCCTCCCCCCTCACTTTTCTGAAAAAGTATATTAAAGAGAAATAATATAGAATGAGAGCAAGAAAGAAAGAATAGTTAACTGCCAGTGTTAAAAAATAATGAAGCATCAAAATATGCTCATCTGACCGTGATTAATGCCTAAAACCCCTAAGCTTCCGGGGGCTTTGCCCCCTGGATTCCACCTAGGGGCCAACGGCGGGCCCTTAGATGCTCATCTGACGGTAATTTAATGCCTCAAACCCCTGATTTTTGGCGGCTTCGCTCCCTGGACCCCACGCCAAATAGTGACATGCCAGTGTCACAAAATAATAAGGTATACAAAAAAATGCTCATCTGACCTTAATTAAACGCCTAAAACCCCTGAACTTCCGGTGCCGGCTCCGCCGCCTCGACCCCACCAGGGGCCCTAAGACGGGCCCCTGAATGCTTATCTGACCGTAATTTATTGCCTTAAACCCCTGCGCTTGCGGGGTTAGACAAGGTATCAAAATGTGTTTATCTGACCGCAGGCGCGTAGCCAGGGGGGGGGGGGGGGCGGTCCCCCCAAATCGGAAGAGAACATCTTTGAAATTCAGACAAGGATTAAGAGTATAGAGAACGGTACAACGCATCGGCTTCTTTCTCTAATAATTTAATGAAACGTCAAAGCGTCGCGCAGGAGCGGAGGGGGGGGGGGAATGAATTCAGACAAGGATTAAGAATCGAGAACGGTACAACGAATCGTCTTCTTTCTCTCATAATCTTATGAAACGCCAAAGCTTCCGCGCTTCGCGCGGGAGGGGGGAACCTGAATTCAGACGAGGATTCAGAGGCGAGAACGGTAATACGAATCTTTAATGGCTTAATGAAACGTAAAAGGTTCCGCGCTTCGCGCGGGATCGATGGAGGGGGAACTAAATTCCGATGAGGATTATTTTCGAGAACGGTACAACGAATCGTCTTCTTTCTTTAATAGTTTAATGAAACGTCAAAGCTTCCGCGCTTCGCGCAGGAGGGGAAGGGGGAAGACTAAATTTAGACAAGGGTTAAGAGTCGAGAACGGAACAACGAATCGTCTTCTTTCTCTAATAGTTTAATGAAACGTCAAAGCTTCCGCGCTTCGCGCAGGAGGGGTAGGGAGGGGAGACTGAATTTAGACAAGGATTAAGAGTCGAGAACGGAACAACGAATCGTCTTCTTTCTCTAATGATTTAATGATTCGTAAAAACTTCCACGCTTCGAGCGGAAGGGGGAAAACTGAATCCAGACGAGGATTAAAAGTCGAGAACTGTACAACGAATCATCTTCTTTCTCTAATGATTTAATGAAACGTAAAAGCTTCCGCGCTTCGCGCGGGAGGAGGGGGGGGGGAGAATCGAAATTCAGACGAGGATTATTTTCGAAAACGGTACAACGAATCGTCTTCTTTCTCTAATGATTTAAGGAAATTTAAAAGCTTCCGCGCTTCGCGCGGGAGGGGGGGGGGGGAACCTAAATTCAGACGAGGATTAAGAGTCGAGAACTCGACAATGAATCGTTTTGTTTCTCTAATAGTTTTATAAATCGTAAAAATTTTCGGGATTGGAAAAATTAATTTCAGACGATAATTATTTTCGAGAATGGTACAACGAATCGTCTTCTTTCTCTAATTTAATGAAACGTCAAAGCTTCCGCGTTTCGCGGAGGAGGGAGGGGGAAATCGCCCCTCCCTGCACCGACCCCCCCCCCCGCATTACGTCACTGTTGGTCACCATTACGTACCAATATTTGGCTCGCATAATTTCAAATTTGGGCCCCCCCCCCCCCTAAGAAATCCTGGATCCGCGCCTGAATGACTGTACGTATTTGTAATATTTGTGTAACAGCAGATTTATATGAATTGGGAAATTAACTTGTACGGGACTACACTCGTGGGTATTGGAGTAATTAAATGACCGTACGTATATGTAATATTTGCGTAACAGCAGATTTCTATGAATTTAGATGTTGATGTAGTTGTCAATAAACAGTCTGTAGAACTCATTTATGAGAGTGTCTGGCTATTTTGTATATCTTGACATTGGCACTAAAATGCACACTGATTCCTCTGAAGCGCTTCACTCTCATAACTTTTGTGACATAAAACGTGCCCATGATTCTGTTCTTTGACCAGTACAGTTGTGCTTCAAGGAGGACAATCAAGCTCATGTACACCCGTATTCCTAGAAAGACCTTCATTTCCTCTACTGACACTGGCTTCCATCTTGCAACATTTGGGTTGTCAACCCGCTTCTGTTCAGCAAACCGATTCGTTTCCTGGGCAAGAAGTTCAATCAATGAAGGAGGAAACATCAAATAGAAGAAATCCAGCTCATTGGCTACAGCCTCCAGGGGTTTCATTGGTCCAGGTTGAGGACCTACAAAAGCTCTGGGCTTGTAACTATGGAGTTCTTTTGACCACTTGCATCATTATCATCGTCATCATCATTTAAACCAGTATCCAAATATTTGTCGTAAAATTCACAGTCAATTTCATCCGGAGGAAGAGCCTCTGGCTCAAAATCGTCATCATGGATTCCATCCAGATTGTCATCATCAGAGGCATCATCCATATCTTGAGCATCTTGGAAATCCTTGAAATCACTCTGCTTGCCTTCACTTCCACCATGCACCTCCATGAAATCATTGGAATTGACACATTTAGCCATTATAAATCCAGAAGAAACCTTCCCTATAACGTCAATATCAAATGAGATAACTATTCAATACGCATCAAGGTCTGGAAGGTTGAAACATCAAAGTTTCTTGAAAAATGCTTGAAATAAAGTTTAATATCTGTAAAAGAATATCAAAGCCTTAGAGAAAACAGTTCACTTTCTAGCAGATCCAGTATTACAAACAAGTTTAGATCATCAAGTCATGTACCAACCTTTGCTTTTAACTTCTTATACTCAGGCACTCAGGCCATCAAATTTAAGATCAAGATGACGTCTTTAAGGAGGGTGACTTTGTCCAAGATGAATTACTGGCCTACTTTCTGTAGAACCGCCCAATGTTTGTTATTTTGCTCGATGTTTACTTGAGAAAGGAGTCCGTTCTACCTCAAAGGACCAGGGTAACTTTCCTCAACCGTTCCTCAAGTATGCAGATCACACAACCTCTAGCTAGACAGACGGAACTATTAGCCCTCAAGACTGTAGATCAAAATGGCATGGGGATCTGTTTAGAAATAAAGATATGAAAGAGAAGAACATAATAATTCAGCAATTAATCTACATAACTTGAAGTAGGCTTGAAAGCAGAAAAGGGATTATGTTGGTAATTCTATTGGGTCCCCATGATACAAACAGAGAATTTTGTTTTCAAAGTCTAAATCAAAAACGTTGGTTTTACAATTGCACTTATAGTTTCCAAAGACTCAACTACATTTCCTATTTCGCAATTTCTATCACAGTTGTGATGGAAATTGCGAAATAGGAAGCGCAGTTCATTGTCTTTGACATTAAAAAGGAAGTCGTCATTTGAAGGAAAAAAGAGCACATTATCATTTGCTGATTGGGTAGACTGCAAACAGTGCACAACCTTTACTACAGTGAGCACTTCTCTTCGCTTTAGTTTATGCAATGCAACAGGGAATTGCCACCAGAACATTCAAGCATATCAACTTCTGATCGGTAACAGACACACTGAGTGTTTGTCAACACTTCCAACTTTCCAAGGATACTTCTCGATACAAATGGCATTTCTCTTTGCTGCAGGAGCTGCAGCTTTATTGGCATTAAAACTTGTGCAAGACACAGAGGTGCATCATATCTCTGTTGCAAATTCAACCATTCAACCCATTGTTGTTGTTGTTGAAAACTCCAGGGGTAAAAATCAATCGATAATAGAAGCAGGGGAGTTTGTGCAATTCACGGTGTCATGTAACACACCCATATCTATCAAAGTGAGAAAGCCGGAGAAAACTACCTACGACGCCGAGGTGAGCGATTACGAACGTCGCAATTTCATTGTGAGAAAAGCGACAACAGGGGAATTGGTCCTCGTTCGAGCTCAAAAAGGGATGCAGTGGGAAGTTGAGCCTAACAGAACTAATGTGAGTACATATCATTCATGCACAAAATAGATTCACTTGTGATTATATCTTAAAGAGGATATTACTCCAGTTTTAGGAACCTGTTTAGTATTATCATGTCAAAGGGGTCTATGATCGAGTCAATGTCCATTAGCATTGTTTCGGATATGGAGATGACTGGTAAAAAGCAAAATCAGATGAAATGTTCAACAACAAAAAATGTCATTGCCGTTGGAATTTTGCGATCCAATTATTGTTGACATAAATTTCGATACATATTAGATTTTCATTTTATGTCTAATATTATAATAGTACAGACTTGAAAAGTTTATACTATAAATGCTGGCCTAAATAATGTTGTGCATAAGTAATATTATAAAAGCTACAGTCCCTATCTAATTGATACTGTTTGCTACTGAAACAGGAGGACTTGGGAATGGCACGTGTTCGACATGTCACAGAAGGGGAGCTGTATTCTTCATGGAGTCATCCACAGGGTCGTCCATCTTTCTATGACGGGAAGAATAACTCTGATTATTATGCATAGGCTTCCAGCCTCTAAATCTAGTCTGGTAAATGACAGTGGTAAAGTGGCGTATCCAGGGTTCTCTGGTGAGAGGGGCAAGGACAAGGGGGGCTGGGGGAGGGGGGTTAAACCCCCTTTAGTTTTTTATGTGTGTATTTTTGAGCAAACCCCCCCCCCCCTTTTGTGTTTTTGTTTTTATTATTATTATTTAAAAAAAAAAAAGTTATGCTGATGACTGACCTAAACAAAAATTTCTACACACACAAAAAAAGAAAAAAGTGTCCTCTTACCCCCCCCCCCCCCTGCTTGAAAAAATCCTGCTTACGCCACTGTCCGGAAGAAACCTTCCCTATTACGTAAATATCAAATGGGAACCTATCCAATACGTAGCAAGGTCTGGAAGGTTGACACATCAAATTTTCATGAAAAATGCTTGAGATAAAGTTGAGTATTTGTAAAAGAATGTAAAAGATTATGGCTCTGTTTTCCTGTTTTTTCTGTTCTGTTTTTCTTGCAGATCCAGTATTACAAACAAGTTTAGATCATCAAGTCATACACCCTTTCTTTTTAACTTCTTATACTCAGGCACTCAGCCCATCAAATCTAAGATCAAGGTGACTTTGTCCAAGATGAATTACTGGCCTACTTTCTGTAGAACAGCCCAATGTTTGTTAATTTTGGTCGGTGACTTTCCTCAACCCTTCCTCAAGTATGCAGATCACACAACCTCCAGCTAGACAGACTGAACTATTAGCCCTCCACACTGTAGATCAAGTCCAAAATGGCATCTGGTTCTGTTTGAGAATAAAGATATAAAAGAGAAGAATATTGTAATACTGTACAAACAATATCTTCTCCTGGTATTTGCTCCAATAAATACATGCATGCACAATGTTTATCAGTTAAAATCTATATAAAGTGGACTGTTAAGAATATTTGCTGTCATTGGTCCAAATTACTGTTCAAGCATACATTAGATCTAAAAATCCTACATTAAATATGCATTGGAGAGGGCTCTAATAAAAGGTAAATTGTCAATGACCAGGAAAAGCCTTCGGTTTTATGATTAACATGGTTAATGTAATGCTTTGCATTCCCTGATTTGCCATATGGTAAATTCTTTGTCTCACTTTTCCATCAGCAAAGACTCCGAGGCCTGAATTCACAAAGGAGGTTTGTCGACAAACCTAGGTTTATGTGCGTCACAGGGGCGTCGCCAAAGGGGGGGGGGAGGTGCGACACCCCCACCTGTCAGGATATTGTCGGTAAAATTGCGCTGCCGTCGGGAAAAAGAGAAAAGGGGAGGGAAAAAAGAGAGGGAAAAAAAGAGAGGGCAAAAAAGAGAGGGAAGAAAAGAGAGGGAAAAAGAGAGGGAAAGGGAAAGAAAAGAAAAAAGAAAAGGAAAAGAAAAGAAAGAAAGGAAAAGAAAGGAAAGAAAAGAAAAGAAAGGAAAGAAAAGAGAAGAAAGAAAGAGAAAAAAGAAAAAGAGGAAGGAGAGGAAAGAAAGGAAAAGAAAGAAAAGAAAGAAAAGGAAAAAAAGAGTGAAAGGGAAACAAAAGAAACGGGGGATCAAAGAGAGGAGAGAGAGGGGAGTGGGAGTAAAAGAGAGAAAGGGGTTGTTGGGTGGAGTCGTCTAGTCGAGGGAGCAAGAAAGACACGGGTAAATATGTCGCTGTATCGGGTCAGCTGTGTCGGTATTCTTGCTCGATCCCTCGTGTACTATATCAATGCAGAAGTTTGAAGTCGGTGAGATGTATATTGTCGGTAGGCCGACAAGTTTTTTTCCCTACGAACTGTGACTTCTTATCCGCTGTGACGACTTCGAGAGTGACTACAACTACAATACTTGTATTTTCTCGAAGTTTCACTTTACTATAATATCAGCTAAAGAAATCAGAGGTTTAAAATTGTCGGGGAAACTAAATTCAAACAAGGTTTAAGAGTCAACAACGGTACGACGAATCGTCTTACTTTCTCTAATAATTTAAGGAAACGTCAAAGCTTTCGAGCTTCGCGCGAAAGGGGAGAACTGAATTCAGATGAATAGGGCTTAATAAGATTCGAAAACGGTACGATGAATCGTCTTCCTTTCTCTATATTGTGATAAAACGCATAAAATTCCGCGTTTTGCGCGAAAGGGGGAACTTCAGTTAGACGAGTCGAGAACGGTACAACGAATCGTCTTTTTTCTCTAATGATTTAAGGAAACGTCAAAGCTTTCGAGCTTCGCGCGAAAGGGGGGAACTGAATTCAGATGAATAGGGCTTAATAAAATTTGAAAACGGTACGATGAATCGTCTTCCTTTCTCTATATTGTGATAAAACGCATAAAATTCCGCGAATTGCGCGGAAGGGGAAAACTTCATTTAGACGAGTCGAGAACGGTATGACGAATCGTCTTCTTTCTCTAATAATTTAAGGAAACGTCAAAGCTTCCGCGCTCCGCGCGAGAGGGGAAAAATGAATTCAGATAAAATTAATAGGGCTTATTTAGAGTCGAAAACGGTACAACGAATCGTGTTCTTTCTCTAATAATTTGAGGAAACGTCAAAGCTTTCGCGCGAGAGGGGGAAAATGAATTCAGAAAAGAATAAACAGTCGAGAACGGTACAGCAAATCGTCTTCTTTTTTTATAATAATTTAATGAAACGTCAAAGCTTTCGCGCTTCACGCGGGAGGGGGGGGGGGGAGGACTTCATTCAGCCAAGGATTACCAGTCAAAAACGGTATAATTAATCGTCTTCTTTCCCTAATAATTTAAGGAAACGTCTAAGCTTCCGCGCTTCGCGAGGGAGGCCCATCACCCACACCCCCCTAATGAGCGCGCTTTTAAGTGATCTCTTGCTCACTACCTCCCCTTTCCTAAAATAAGATCCTAGCTCCGCGCCTGCATTAAAATATATAGCTTTGATGCTGACTAAATTGAAGAAATAATTCGTATATTTATGTCGTCGAGGAAAATGACCATTTTGCGCATATGCAAGTACTATAGATAGTCCATAGGAAAAACAATTTAGCCTTCAGCCCCAGGTTTATAGGGTTGAATTTGTAGATATTAATTATTAATTTTGTCGGTAATTGGTGGCTAGTTTTGTCGGTAATCGTTGGCCTTTACACCCCCCCCCCCCCACTGAAAAAGGTCTAGCGACGCCCCTGGTGCGTCATATGACGCATTTTTACAGACCAAGGTTGTGTAAAAACGCGCGTCGAACGCACATATGGTGACGCACAAACCTCCTTTGTCCTTCGGGCCACATAGTCTAGGAGGTTTTTCTTGATAGGCATATCGGTTTGCTGTGTGCAGACTTGTACACCCATTAATGGCATTTCTACCAAGGCTGGTGTCAGCGATGTATGGCCTTTTGCACATTTGAAACTGAGTAGTGACTACCACCTCACTTTAAGAGGGTTTGTTCAGCAATTAATCTACATAATTTGTAGAAGGTTTGAAAGCAGGAAAGGGATTATGTTGGTAATCTTATTGGGTCCCCATAATACAAACAGAGAATTTTTATTCAAAGTCTAAATCAAAAAAGTTGTTTTTAAAATTGTATTAATAGTTTCCAAAGGTTCGACTGGATTGTGAAATATCAGTGTGGCTTAAAATAAATGTGATGGAAATTGCGAAATAGGAAGCGCAGTAATTGTCTTCAACATTAAAGGAAGTCGTCATTTGAAGGAGAGAAAAAGCACACTATCCTTTGCAGATTTGGTAGACTGCAAACAGTGCACAACCATTACTACAGTGAGCACTTCTCTTCGCTTTAGTTCATGCAATGCTACAGGGAATTGCCACCAAAACATAGAAGCATATCAACTTCTGATCGATAACAGACACACTGGGTGTTTGTCTACACAATTCCAACTTTCCAAGGATACTTCTAGATACAAATGGCATTTCTCTTTGCTGCAAGAGTAGCAATAATTGGAGCTGGAAGTGCTGTAGCGGCAATACAACTCATGCGACACTCAAAGTCAAAGGTGCATCATATCTCTGTTACAAATTCCACCCTTCAACCCATTGTTGTTGTTGTTGAGAACTCCAGGTGTAAAAATCAATCGATAATAGAAGCAGGGGAGTTTGTGAAATTCACGGTGTCAGATGATGCACCCATATCTATCAAAGTGAGAAAGCCGGAGAAAACTACCTACGACGCCGAGGTGAGCGATTACGAAGATCGCAATTTCATTGTGAGAAAGGCAACAACAGGGGAATTGGTCCTCGTTCGAGGTCAAGAAGGGACGCAGTGGAAAGTTGAGCATAGCAGATCAAAAGTGAGTTCCGGTCAGGCGCGCCGGAAGCAGTTTGGGATGGGGGGGGGGGGCAAACGTTCCAGGGGGCTCACCTTCCAGGGGCAGTAGCGTAATGAGCAAAAACGTTTGGAAGCCCCGGCAGGGGGTCAAGGGGCTGAATGAGCCCCCGAAAGCTCAGCGTTTTTAGGCATTAAATTAAGGTCAGATAAGCATATTTATATACCTTAATTGTGACACTGTTAGGTCACTAATTGGTGGAGAGTCCAGGGGGCAGAGCCCCCGGAAGCTCAGCGATTTTAGGTATTAATTAAGGTTAGATGAGTATCCAGGGGCACTATTTAAGGCAATTGATGTGGTCCGGAAGCTAAGGGTTTCAGGTATTTAATTACGGTCAGATGAGCATTCAGGGGCCCGCCTTAGGGCCCCTGGTGGGGGTTCAGGGAGCAGAGCCCCCGGAAGCTCAGGGGATTTTAGGTATTTAATTACGGTCAGATGAGCATCCATAGGCCCGCCTTAGGGCCCTTAGTGGGGGTCCAGGGGCAGAGCCCCCGTAAGCTCTGGGGATTTAGGCATTTAATTACGGTCAGATGAGCATATTTTGATACCTCTTTTGTGACATTGGCAGGTCTCTAATTTTGTTCTCTCTCTCTCTTTCTTTCGTTTCTTCTGTAACATACTTTTTCAAAAAGTGAGGGGGGCTCGAGCCCCCGAGCCATTTCTTCAGGCCCTGACGTAAAGGCTTTTAAATAAGCATATTTTTCGCTCGACTGTAAATTAGGGAATTTCTAAATTTCCAACAAACTCATAAAAGGTATATGACTAAAAAAAAATTGAGAAAAAATACAGGAAAATCATGTCATTTCATCATTGGTATCGAATAAGAAATACCCTCCCCCCCCCCAATTAGTAAGCCAGTGTTCAGGGGCTCATGTCTTTTCACCCCTATAACAAAATAACACACACGCTTTCCCATCCTCTCATAATATTTCCACGATATGCGCGCATCGCTATTATAAAAAACCTCTATTGATAAATATAGGTGGCATGCGGAATGTTTAGAAAATTGAATTCCTGTTAACTTTCCTTTTCTTTGAATGGAATTTTATATGTGATTTAATTCCGGTTTTTATTATTGTTATGTTCTTTTGGGTTTAAAATACAAACCATCATTACTCCTGTACTGCATTTCTTTCTTTCTTTTTTGGGAGGGGGGGGGGGGCGTTTTGGTGGGCAAAAATGCGTTTTGCCCCCCTCCCCCACTTTTTTGTTTGGGGGGGGGGGAGGGCAAGTGCCCCCCTGCCCCTCCCCACATCCGACGCCTATGGTACCGGTACATGCCATTCATGCAAACACAGGGCGAAAATCCCATAGAGACCAATTAATAGAGACCATTAGACAAATTATATTGGTCTCTAATGGTTTCTGTTGGAGTCTATCGGTTTCTGTTGGACCCATAGAATATAATCCCATAGAGACCATTCAAACCTTCATAAACCAACATAAACCAATACAAACCAATAGGACCAATACTCAATAGAAACCAATTGGACCAATAGAACCAATAGAAACCAATAAGACCAATAGAAAACAATAGGACCGACAGGACCAATAGAAACCAAGACCAATAGAACCCAATAGGACCAATATAAACCAATAGGACCAATACTCAATAAAAACCAATTGGACCAATAGAACCAATATAAACCAATGAGACCAATAGAAACCAATAGGACCAATAGAAACCAATAAGACAAATAGAACTCAATGGAACCAATAGAAAACAATATGACCAATAGAAACCAATATATCCAATAGAAACCAATCTCATGCATATTCATGATTCTTTTACACGTGTTCACAGAAAAATACATTCATCATGATTTGCTAAGCAAATTATGACAATGCACATCAATTTTGTGATTTGTATTTTCCTTCGGCAATTATTAACCAATAGATTATTTTGTCTGATCATGTAACAATTACATTCACGTTTTAGCAATAGATATATTGATTATATGATTACTAACCAAGAAACAACATGCATGTTTATTATATAATGTTTGCACAAGCCTGTAACACTTTAAAGGCTACTCTTGAATTCACTTCAAATGATCTTTGTGATGGAGTTAATGCAATGGAGATTAGAAGATTCATATTGGTGGACATTTGCTAATATCGATTATGAATTATCAGTTTATCTTCTACCCGGATCGATTTACCAATATAAGCCTATGGAATGTGGGACCACTAGAAACCCATAGAAAAATCCCTAATGGACCAACAAGAACCCATAGAAAATACCTAATGGACAAACAGAAACCCATCATAGAAGAATCTAAAGGACCAGCAGAAACCCATAAAAGATGTGAGTGGATGTTGGTCCAATAGAAGCTTTCTATTTGTCCATCAGCATTTTTCTATGGGTGGGTGTGTGTTGGTCCAATAGATATTTTCTATTGGTCTCTGTGGGTCCAATATTTCACTTTTCCTATTGAAACCAATAGACCCCAATAGCTCTAATGGTTTCTGATGGTCCAATAGGCTATTGAATCCTATTGGCATTTCGACCTGGAAAGGTATAGACCAGTTTTGGAAACGCCCCCCTCAAAAAAAGAAATGGAAGCTCTCATTACCAATCATGTGAAAGAATTTTAACACTACCGGTCTTTATCTTTAAGATGATAATGCTCGAGTTTGAGCAACCTGTTAAGGATTATAATGTTAAAGGGGTCTATGAGTATGAGGCAATGTCCATCAGCATTGCTTCGGATATAGAGATGAGTGGTAAAAAGCCAAATCAGATGAAACGTTCAATTACAACAACAAACAAACTAATTATTGTCATTACCATTGTAATTTAGCAATCCAATTATTGTTGACATTTTCTATACCATTACCAATTCGATTTTTTACTTAATGTCTATACAGAATACAGACTTGAAAAGTTGAAAATAGAAATGCTGGCCTATAAAGAATCATTATAAAAGCTACAGTCCCTATCTAATTGATACTGTTTGCTACTGAAACAGGAGGATATCAGAATAGCACGTGTTCGGCCATTCACAGAAGAAGACCTGTATGCTTCACAGAGTAGTCCACATTGTTCATCTTTCTTTGACGGGAAGAATAGCTACAATTATCATACATAGGCTTCCAGCTTCTAAATCTATTCTTGTAATGACAGTGGTGAAGTGGCGGATCCAAGGTTCTCTGATGAGGGGGGGGGGGGTTACATCTAAAAGTTCCCTGACAAGCAAAAACAAGGAGGAAGTACGTACAGTGTGTATCATTCTTCTTCTTCTTTTTTTGCTCTCCCCCCTCCCCCAATTAAAATCTCTTCTTTGGCCGCCTGCATGTGCCCCCCCCCCACCTTGTTGTTCAGACACCTTCTGTAACTTTTTTCATAAAATCTTGTATAGATCATACCTAGGAACGAATTTTTTTATCATTCCTTCAAAGGAAACCTCGACCTAACGAATAAGTGTAGGTATGCTCACTATACTGAAAGATGAGATGCATTCCTGCCTTTTGACGTAAAATATTCCTTAGAAAAGTTTACAAGAGATATATATTTGGCATGTTTATAATTACAATGCCATTCAGCATGTCATGGCCGCAGTAATTTTCTTGATAATGTGATATACCAGGCAAACTTGTACATGTACATGTATTATGCACCAAAGCTTTACCGGTAGTTGGAAATACAATAACAAAGCTTTTACTTATCAATGAGGGAAATTGTAGCTGTGAAGGTAAACAAAAAAATGATGAAAAAGATATAAGAGGGGAACAATTGTAACTTGTTTATTTAAAAATACTAACATATATATAAAGCAGTTGACAAATATTTGATTTATGTGAAACCTTTATCCCAGAAGAGCACCAACTTATTTATGGAATTTACGTTCTGAAAATTGTAGTACAAAGGATAATAGTAGGTGAATGGAATACTAGTACTTCATCACATCACACACCTGCGAAGGAAGCATCCATAAATTTGAATACATTTACTCGATTAAAGGCTATGCATAGTACGTCGCATTACGTTCAGGAGAAGCTTTCTCCTAAATATTATGTGTACATGTAGTTGCCTCCCCCACATACATGTATATTGACAAAAAACCTGAGAATTATACCTTGCCTACCACGAATGTCACAAATATTGTAAATTCTAATTTCCATTATATACACTGATCTTTCAACCCCCCTTTTTTTCTTCAAATTTAAAGAACGTAAAGTAAACAAGATGAATTGCCTCAAGAATGAATTTCACATGTTCTGAATGATGTACCGTAAAAGACAATCTGTTTTTTTTTTTGGTCATTAAATGAAGAACCATAGTTACAATACTTCGTTAAATGTATAGTTGTATAGTTGTATAGTATAGTTGTATGTTGCTGTTGTAGTTGTATAGTTGTATGCTTAATTAAATGTAAAGTTGATGACCGTGCTTAAGCATGTCAACCTGCGTTACTTTTGTACAAATATTGCTGTGGGTGTACAAGCTTTTTAACAAGTAAAGGCCCGGTCTCACCGCCAGAACTTTGCTGGAGCGTTCCTGGAGCGGTGAAAAAATTCATCACCGCTCGTAACCGTTCGCCACCGTTTAACAGAAGTTGGCCCCCGTTAAGGCAACGCCGTATACGCTCGGCCACCGCTGATGGTCCCTCCTACCGCTCCGAAAGTTTTGAGCTGCACAAAATATTGCGAGCGGTGAGGAGCGGGCAAGCGGGCACCGCTCCAACAACGCCCAGTCAAAGTTTGGCACCGCTAGAGGCAAGTTCGTGGACGCTTTGGTCCGCTAGGCCAACGCAGAAATCTTGAACGCTGGACCACCGCTGCTTCGCCAGCTTTGCCCGGGCGGTGATTAAACGTTACACAAACTTTGGTGGAGCGGTTGTAAGCGTTTTACGAGCGGACACGAGATTGCTGGAACGGTGTCGGGCGTTGAAGCAGCGATCCATTGCGGTGATGAACTTTGGTTTGGCGTTGGTATGAAGGTGTGGGAGCGGGACCAACGCTCGCTACCGCTCGCTACCGTTAAACCGACGCTAAAGCAACGCCGGCTTCAGCGATGCACCGCTAAGGCAACGCCCGTGTTTTCGATTTGTTTCCCATTTTGTGCGCGGTGACGAGCGTTGTCGAAATTCGGCCCCCTCTCCCTACCGTTCAAGGAACGCTCCAGCAAATTTCTGGCGGTGAGACCGGGCCTTATAATTATTCCATGCAATTTCACACAAGTTTGTTGAAAGAAACATATTGAAAAGATAAGAAATCAAGTAAAGAATTTTAGTTAAGCGGAAATTCGTCCTTTTAAAAAAAATCTTACATTGTGCAAGATGTGTCACTTAAATATCCTTACTTACACACATGTACATGTACATCACATGTATGAATGATTTTCTTCTCAAAAAAAAAATCTCTATAGGGCTGTAAATAAACTTACCCATTCGTTTCCCATTGTCTATGGTCCTCCACCCTCTTACTCAACTAAAATCGTTCGTCTTAAGTGATATTTTCGTGCTATAAGCCTAATATTATTTTCCTGAACATAATATGCTCAATAAAATCTATCCTTGAATATTAAATGACACTGCCTTGATCGTTTTGGTGGCTACTTATCCGCATCTTTACTTTTCTAAATCTTTCATGATATTGATGTGTGATGTTGCCATTGTTATTTGTATGTATTGCATTTGTATTTTAACACTGTGAATATCTGATTGCTTTGTAAAACATATACATGTAATATCGGCCTCAAGCTGCTTGTCATGTTGATTTTTTAATGAACCAATGCAATTCAATTCAATATGTACTAGTAAATCTTGCTTCTTTTTTTACACTGTAAACCTCAAATCTTACAAATGTTTATAATGTGAAACCACAATTTCAATGCTTTGTTTTTGTTTGTTTATTTCCAATTTGTACAGTTGATTACAAGGTATATGTATACAATAAATGTGAACCATAGGGTTAAAATCTTCTAAAAACTTGCTTCTTTCCTTTGACACTTTTGTTGTAAGCTGTACCCAATTACACTCTGAGTCTCTGATCATGTCCAATGTAAATGTAATGTATAGTTGTATAGTTGTATAGTTGTATAGTATATTTGTATGTTGATGTTGTAGTTGTATAGTTGTATAGTATAGTTGTATGTTGCTGTTGTAGTTGTATAGTTGTATAGTATAGTTGTATGTTGCTGTTGTAGTTGTATAGTTGTATAGTATAGTTGTATGTTGCTGTTGTAGTTGTATAGTATAGTTGTATGTTGCTGTTGTAGTTGTATAGTTGTATAGTATAGTTGTATGTTGTTGCTGTAGTTGTATAGTTGTATAGTAAAGTTGTATGTTGCTGCTGTAGTTGTATAGTTGTATAGTATAGTTGTATGTTGCTGTTGTAGTTGTATAGTTGTATGCTTAATTAAATGTATAGTTGATGACCGTGCTTAAGCATGTCAACCTGCGTTACTTTTCTACAAATATTGCTGTGGGTGTACAAGCTTTTTAACAAGTATATTATTCCATGCAATTTCACAAGTTTGTTGAAAGAAACATATTGGAAAGATAAGAAATCAAGTAAAGAATTTTAGTTAAGCGGAAATTCGTCCTTCTTTTTAAAAAAATCTTACATTGTGCAAGATGTGTCACTTAAATAACCTTACTTACAAACATGTACATGTACATCACATGTATGAATGATTTTCTTCTCTAAAAGAAATCTCTATCGGGCTGTAAATAAAATTACCCATTCATTGACATTGTTATGAACAATTGAGTATATTATCTAGAAATTGTGTGATATGAATGCACAAGTATCGTTAAACCTGTTATTGACTCGAACAAAAAGAACTTATCTTTCATTTCCAGACCTAACCTTCAGCTTATAGAGGTTCATGCACTTACCAAGTTTTATAAGAGAGACAGGGCAAAGTTAAAGATAAACTTGAGTTTTGGTAAAAAAAAGAAAATTAATTCTCACAGAATCTAATGAAACTTACACTGAATGTTCAAGGTTACAAATAAATGTCATTCACCAAACAATTTTGGAAGAAAGTGTATACTGGCTGAGTAATGATCATAGAAAGATAAGGAAGTCAGGGTAGTACTATAGCCCCGACACCATGTGTGTTGTCCCATATACATCTTTCTGTGTAAGTGATTGTTACTTTATCAAGACCCTGCCAAATTATGATGATTTTGAAGACTCCAAAACCTTGCATTACACACCATTACTTACACGCTATATGATCAACTTTTCTGATCCATTCCACACCTTTTCCTTCACAATGCAATCGCATTACCAGAACTCAAGTTTATCTTTAAAGTGATTTCCTCCAGCTATAGACTAGACTAGGATGACAAGAATTAGTACACCAGAATAGATGAATCAGGCGCGTACGCAGGGGGGGGGGGGGGTATGGGGTTAACCCCCCCTTGATTTTTTTTTATGTGTATGTTTTTTGTGTATGTTTGGAAACCCCCCCCCCAAAAAAAAGTGTCCTCTTACCCCCCCCCCCCCCCCCCCCCCCCCCCCCCCCCCCTCCCCCCCCCCCCCTCTTCCTTCTGCGTACGACACTGAGATGAATATATGACAGGAACCAAGCTGGGGCCCGTTTCATAAAACTTTCTATCTATAACAAAATAATGACGAATTTCTATGATAAATTTGCTCTCAGCCAATCAGATGCCTTGATTTCAGTAGCTTATAACAGTAGCTTGTAACTTGTTATTGATATCAAGTTTTATGAAACAGGCCCCTGGATATTGTCGACTGACTTTCGCTGTTCATGCAGACAGGTGACTCAATGAACATCAAGTGGAAACAGACTTTCCTGTATTACACATACACAGACAGAACAAGGGAGCGATTATACTATAGGGTCTGGCGTTATAGTCAGTACTCTCTTAGCATGCTTAGTGTTACTGTTAAATTGACTATTCTATCATGACTATTCTATCATGCGGTTGGCTTTTGGAAGAGGTTCCAAATTCCAATTTCATACTTTAATTTGATGCAATAAGTTACAATTTGTTACATTAGCATGATTAGTCTCTATTACAATTTACATAGACTATTCATTTTCACATCCTCAGGATCATTTGGCAATTGATTAGGCCTTAGCTTTGGTTATTCATTTTAGACTATATTTATTTACTTCTTTCAATTACCATGATTACTCAACGCAACGTCAACCTAGGTCTATAGTCTACTATTACTAGTGAGGCTATATTCTGAACCCGATGTATAATTCCTTCTTTCTTTCATCTGTGCTCTGCACTGCATTTACCAAAGTATTCCATCTCGTGTGTTCCATAACTTCCATTTGTTCTAAAAAAAACCTCATGGATCTCGCGTGATGCTTTAGTTACGTTTAGGCATCTCCACTTCTGGCCCGGGAATTCTAATAAAACATGATTTGATTTATTTATTTATTACACATATTTATACAGGGTATCTCATTCAGATTAAAAACTGGTCTTCCAAAAGGCCTAGCTGTCTCAATAAAAATACACATATATACAAATATATAAAAAAGCCCCGGCGGGTGTCAAGGGGCGGAGCCTCATGAAGCTCAGGGGTTTTAGGTATTTATTAAGGTCAGATGAGCATCCTGGGGGCGGAGCTAGCCCCCGGAAGCTCAGGGATTTTAGGCATTTAATTACGGTCAGATGAGCAAAATTTGATATCTTATTTGTGACACTGGCAGGCAGGTGGGGTCCAGCTGGGCAGAGCCCCCAGAAGCTCAGGCGTTTTAGGCATTTAATAACAGTCAGATGAGCAACCAGGGGCCCTTGTTGGGGTCCAGGGGGCAGAACTCCCCACCCCCCCCCGAAGCTCAGCGAAAAATCACGCCATTTCAACATGTGTAAATCACTGGTATCGAATTAGAAATAAACCACGTTTGAATTTCATTTTGAGGGAACTGCCCCCAAAGGCCACCCCCCCCCCCTATCAGTACGCAAGTGCGAGGGAGCGTAGTGAATGAGAGGGTTGAAGGTGACGGAAGTGACTACCCCTCACAGGTTTTTGATATTATGTTGTATTAAAGAATTATACTCCTTAGCAAAACTATAGTATAAAAACAAGCAATATACTTTTTTCACACTTCAACTTTCTCGGTATTTATACATTTTGAAGGATATTATGCAAGGGAGCGTAGCTACCGAGTGAGAAGATTTTTGCATTTTTATTTGTCTAAACGCTGCACTCTTGGGCCCTCCAGAGCCTGTGTTGCAGTCTTTAGTCAGTATTTGCTATACATTTTTTTAAAGCACTTTTTCAAATTTTGAGCGGGGGGGGGGGGGGGTTGACGGGGACGTGTCCCCCCCCCCCCCCCCCCGTCCTCCCGGGATCGCCGCGCCCCTGCCAGCGAGGACCGTCTGTCAGTGAAGGGGTAGCCGCGACATGCGTCAAGTGTGTGCGTGACGAATTAATTATTGTGACGCCTTTTTGCTGTTTTTGAAACTCTGCCAAATTTATGATGATTTTATATGACTCCACAACCTTGCATTACACACCATTACTTACATGCTATATGATCAACTTTTCTGATCCATTCCATACCTTTTCTTTCACAATGCAATCGCATTACCAGAAATCAAGTTTATCTTTAAGTTACTAAGTTTAACCCGAATTAAAACAGTGGACCTGGTATATGTCTCACCTTTTCCCGTTTGTTCGTAAAGGAATCCCGGAAAAGAATAAGGAAGGGCTTCCGCCAGTTCCGCCTTTGAATAAATTAGGCCTAGGCTAGGCTACTATACACTGTGAATCTTTATTTTTTGTATGCTCTATCCATGGACCTACTTGTATGTCAATGCAGGGAGATGAGAGTTTAAACTCTCATCTCCCTGGTCCATGCCTCTACCAACGAAACACACAGCTAGTCAACAATTAAATTATTCATACCCTTGTAAATTAGATATTTTTGGTGTTCTTTGTAACTCAAAAATGAAATATGCACAGGTTAATTTAGGGCCTTTGTTGAAATATTTTTAGAGGTTACATTCTCAAGAAACATAAATCAAGAAAACTCATTTCTTAACAAAGTCAATAACATATATACATCAATGACGGGGCACTTTCAAAATTACAAAACTTGGCAAGGATATGAATAATTTAGTTGTTTAACTGAGAGTCACCATCACCCCTACCCAAAAATATGAATATGTTTGCATAAAGTTAACTAAGAGTTGCATTGTTGATTGTGACTTGTTCAGTTTATGCTTCAATATGACTCAATCTCTGTATCTCATTATTTTTTTCTCTCTCAATCTTGCCCTCCCCATCACGTTTTGTTTTGCTGTCTCTCATATTCTCTCTCTCCCTTTCCCATCTCTCCTTTCTCTCACTCCCCTCTCACTTCTCCATCCCATCTCTCTTTCACCCCCCCCCCCCCTCCCTCTCTCTCTCTCTCTCTCCTTCTCTCTCGCTGGCACACACAATTTTAATTAGACAAAAAGTAACCATACTACCAGTATACTATTATTACTCTCTGGCATCCAATACAATAACAATTTAATTTGTAAAAATCTGATAAATGTTATAACATTAAAATTTGTATTTGTACAGTATACAGACTGATATATTGAAATATGGCAGTATATAGTATAGAACCAAAAAGAATGCATGATTTAAACACAGGAACGTACATGCATTGTTGGGTAATTCCATAAATTAAGGACCAACTTTGTGACTTTTTTGGTGTCCCACTTACATAAGGAACCCACACATATTTGTGGCTCTGAGTAAAGACTTACATAGTGGAGTGAGATTGTAAAGTGATTTCCAAGCATAATATTGCATCCTCATACCTAGAATCACTTAAAAGTCTCACTCCACTATCTAAGTTTTTACTCAAGAGCCCAGTACAGGTATGTTCCTTATGTAAGTGGGACACCAAAAATGTCACAAAGTGGGTCCCTAATTTATGGAATTACCCACTCATGTAAGTGCATCCCAGATTAGAATGCGATGTGCCACAAGGTAATTTATAATGGTTTATCCACACATGAGAAAACTACAGTGTATTTTTTCTTTCTTTTTTCCTTGGTTTTTTTTAAAAGTGTAAATGAATGTCGAGGGGAGGATGGAAATAAAATCGCTGCGTGCAACAAAGGTCTTTTTTTTTTTTTTATTTTTTTTTTTTACTGGTATTCAAATAATTTTGCTTTATTTACAGAAAATATCGTTAAAAGACTTTTAATCATTTTGCAATTTATATCTGATTTATAGTAATGCAACAAAGGTCTTATGCAACAGTACTGCACATTCTCACTTTCGGTTTGTTATAAGATACTGAAACGTGGAGCTTCTTATGCCGACACCTTTATTTAAAAAAAAACACTGCAGTTTACACTGCATCAAATATGGAGAGCCATAATTTAGTGATGCACAATTGTATCTACAAGAGAACCAACTCCTAAAAAGGAATATCAAGAAAAGTGAAATTTGCACTACTTAAATTAATGTTTAAATTAATCTCAGTACTGTACTTATGCAGTACCTTAGCAGCGTCTGAATCAATGTTTTTTAATCAGCCACACAATAGAGATATTACTCCATCTCCCCTTAATTTTATGAATAAATGTTCCTCTTTTTATTGTCTGAACAATCAGGATGAGATATCAGTTAAAGTGTACCTATCATTAAAACATCTTTTGCTTTTGATGTAAGGGGTTCCATGTGGCTATGCTGTATTAAAAATTATGAGCATCAATTATTACTAGCTCTATGTACAAAGAGATATTGCAATTCAAGTGGAATCTCAGTGAAAAGTAAAAGGTTCTGTTTGAGTAGACAAGTTAATGCACGCGTATGCACATGCATAGAAAAAGTCTGACTTCAGTTAGGTGCGCACCCTACAAGCAGGTTTTTTGTTTTCCTTTATTTTCTTCATCCTCCTTAACCGTCTACCTATAGAATGGAGAGCAAAGTTTTTTTAAAGTTGATTTTATACACTCTAGCTATAAATTGACTTGTTCTTCTTCAGGTAATGGATACATTTTATTGTCTGAGCAAAGCTGGCTGCATACGTGTATAAATACAGCAGACACCTGTTCAAGCACCAAAGGAAACCCTAACATACAGAACACATTATTCATTGGGTGATTGCATGGTACAATTTAACATTCACTTAAGTGAGTACTATTTCTTAGACACTGGCCACACATTTCAGAATTAGGCACCAGGGGAGTGGTAGATCCGTACCACTGAACCACAAAAAAATGTAGAGTGTTGTGAAATTAATAGAGACAGAAAATAAATTATGATGACTACAATGACATTGGTAGCCGGCAGGTCACATATGAAGAGCTTAATTCCAAAAGGAGTTAAATCCACTTTTGATGAAAATTGAGTTATTGATGTCAGAACATTGTTCACTGAAGTATCCGTCTTTCAATAAATTATTCACCTAAATTTTGGGAGCAATTATGACAAAATGTACCTTCCAATATCACTTTTCTATAGACGCCTGTACAAAATCTGGTAAACAATTTCTTTTTTCTCTGAAGTTACAGAAATGGATTTAGCTCCTTTTGGAATTAAACCCTTCATATACCGAACTGTACCAGCAATTATCGCTTATCCTGCACACACGTTATAGGCAGCAGCCATTATAACAGGGAGAGGTAGATACAAGTGGTACAGTCTTAACGATGTGGCATGCGTTACGATATGATTCAAGTCCATCCTAACGACCCTTCCCTTGGTGAGGCTCGTTGTGCGCTGGTTGGCCATGGCACCGAGGTAAGTCATCTGGACCCGAGAGCAGCTGGGGCAGTGCGGGTAGAAACGGTAGTCCGACTGATGGGGGCGGAAGAACTTGGAGAGGGTGTGGAGGATATCAGTTCTCTTTGGTAACTGTTGAAATAAGGAGAGAGCATTTATTACACATCGAGGGGTCAGTGACACAAAGACGTAACTACATTTTGAGAAAAAGTGGTTTATGTGTCACTGAGCACTTGGGCCTTAAGGAATTAAGTCTACGTTTCATTAGCCATTGACTACAATGGGGTTTTGGGTGGAGTTAAGTCACTGTGTTTCCTGGAAAGCCCACATTTTCTGAACATTTTGATATCAAATACTCATTTTGGCAAAAAATGGAGTTACGTCTTTGTGTCACTGAGATATAGAGAAAATATATCTAAGGTATCATCTAAATAACATAAAATTAATGATGAAACAACATTATGACACTTGTGATGCAGTGCTTTAATTAGCAAAATTCACATGGATGTACCTCTCAAATTCACAGTTTTGTCTTCCCTTTTGTAGGATCAGCAGTTACGTCATGTTTTACAAATTACCAATCCAATTTCTTTCAGGTAATTCCTGCTATAATTTTCATCGCTGAATTAAGAGCCATATAGTACAAAGAAATTCACACACTGTGACACAGTTCCCACAGTTTACATTTCAAGACATATTGTTGGCCTTCTGAGGCTTCTATTTCCATAGTTTTTGCTCAAAGCGTTGCAACCATAACATCGTGTCAAATAAATATTTCCAAACCCGTGGAAAGCCCAGGGCTTCAGCGCCCTTTTAAAAAAACTCTTTAGAGAGCGGTAGAGTTAGAGAGAGAAATAGAGAGATAGAGAAAGAGAGAGAGAGAGAGAGAGAGAGGGGGTAGAGAGAAAAGCAGATAGAAAAATAGCCATATTGCTTGGGAGAATATACAGAGCACATACTGTATACAGCACAAGAGAAACAAGACAGATAAAAACCAACTGGCAGTAACAAACATGACAGAGAACCAGACAAAACAAAACAAACAGACAAACACACAAAATATGTAGCACAATTACTGAGGGTAAGAGGAGAGAGGCGGAGGACGATACTAGCGTGAGAGTCTTACTGATAATGGAGGTTGGTGATCGGCAATGAAGCTCTTAGCAGTCCTGCGCTTCCCACATGTGTGGCAGCCATGCCGACTTCCAATAGCTGCTAATGTTGCTTTCTTGCCACTGCTGGCGTAGTTCTTGGTGGCTGGGATACCTCGCTGTGCGAATGCCCCTTCAGACAATACATAAAGTAAATATATACATCAGATATATCACAATGAGAGTATTCTTATGTCAAGCCTTCTTTAATTGTGTTCATGTTTTAAAGTCGAAGTTGAGTTTTGGTCACAAGTTTCTAAAGTTTCACATTTTCATAAAGTCTTGAGCTGATCCTAGCTCTGTCAGTCTCTAACTAGGCGTTGTGGCGTGCGCCTGTAATCCAGCTTAAAAGTGGAAGTTACAAACTGGTTCAGCCGAAACTGAGTCACGTCTTTCGGATGGTGACGTTTAAAGGTCGGTCCCCAGACGTAAATAATCATATCTGATTGATACACGTCTGTAAAAACCAAATACACACACACTGGCTGTGTCCGGAGCAGCTATAGTACAGAGCCTGTGGGGTGCAGTAGACTGTGCACTCAGCATAGTCTCTTAGTTCAGACACTCTATTACGCACTACGACAGACAAGGGATTGTGCCTGCAGATTATACTTTCATAAAGATGTGTAATATAGAATCTGTTTTGGTGGATGCCAAATTCACAGATACATCAATATTACCTGGTTTAAGAATAGTACTGGGTAGAACAGATGCAAATTTTCCCCTGAGTAGTTTGAATATTGCAGCAGACCCAACTCCATAGCAAACTAGATCTGAAAACCTAACATCTAGTCCTCTATATTCAGATACTGTCAAGAAAGAAAAAGAAAAGAAGCACTATTAATGAAAACCTAATAAATAAAATGACAAAAAATGAATGATAACAATGAAGATCATACATAAAACAAGAAGACAATGACGATGGGGGTAATCTTGATGCATTATGTACTAAAACAACTGTATATCTAACTTTTAGAAAATTGTGGCCCAAGCCGCACAACCATACAGACAAAATTGCTGAATGATACCCCTTGCAAGAATGTTGCCAACTTGATCTATTCTTATTGACTTTGCAAATTGCAACTGATTATTACATATTTAGAATATCCCTGTCAAGTATGAGCTTTTATTATTGTAGGCAGTAAAGGCTTGTTCAGATACATGTATGATGCGGTCAACCGCTGCAAAAAAATGGCTCATTTAAAAAAATGTGTAAATGAATGGCAACCACAGGCAGAACAAAGGGCTTGCACATATTCAATGTGTTATAAGATACAGTCTGAAATGTGAAGCCTATAACACTAGTTACGTCATCATTAAAAAACGCCCCAGTTTTGCTGTGTCGTGTCTGAACAGAGCTTAAGGCTCTTCTGATGCCTCTTTCTGCTCTGCTTGATATCTAAGTTTGAGCTCTTTAGCACACAACTTGTCCAAGAATTCAGCTTTTTGTGGTATTATTACCACTGACTATTGGAATTATAGGAGGAAGACATATAGGAAGAAGGAGAAGTAGGGGCGCGATAAAATGTACTTCATGGTTTGAATGGGGAAAAGTGTACACAAACCTAATACTCTTACCATTACAGTTTGAATAAGTAGCTAACACTGCAACAGACGTAGCAATGCCTGACACAGCCACAGAACACAGACCAAAGGCAGGAGATAGTACGTGAGAGGACGTTACTAATAATGGCTTAAATACACCAATCTGTAAAGATAAAAGTAATACATTAGGTTCTTCTATTTAATCCACATATGAGAACTACATGTGTCAAACTGTCAATTCAATATACTAGTACTCACAATGTTCTGGCCCTGGTAATTTTGCTACTAATTTTTTTGTGATGGTTATGTTAATCTTCCAAGCTACATTAATAGGGTTATGAGATATTCATAACTGTCAATTTTAAGTACTTTGATTCAATTACAATTGCACTTTGAAGTCATTCATGAAGAGTAATTTGTTAACATTTGTTGGGTCATCACCTTTTCAACAAATTTGGAGTCAATCAGATACTATGGGTAAGTTTTGTTAATTTGTTTCTTAACTAGAGTTAGATTTCCTCAAGAACTGTTGTCCTTTTTATTTAACTTCTGTAAAGACACCTACTTGTCTTCTTGAATTTTATCATACTTCCTGGGGAGTGTTTCACAAAGACTAAGATGGACTTTAAGTTGGACTTGAATATGGCAGGCCGTTCATACTACTGTCTGCTCTCACCATTTAATGGCATTTGTCTCTCAAGGGACGTAAAAATAATGGTCACAAATTTACAGAGTTTATATTTTTTGATAATTCATTATTGGGGTAAAAAATATTATCTAAAGATCATTATTGAGAGATCAAGGGTGAGAGCAAACAGTGTCATGAACGGCCTCCCATATTCGATCTTAGTCTTTGTGGAACACTCCCCTGGCCTACCTAACTCAACCTTAATTCTCATAACACTATATTCTGGTTGCCAACTATGCAAGATCGCAAGTGCTATGTTTTTTTTCTATTCTTACCTGAAAGACTCCAAGACAGAGAGGGAAGACGATACAGCCCAGACCCCAGCTCACCATACACCCATACATCTGATCGTTGCTACCAGACTGGAAGGTACTCGTGTAAGAATCCTTGATGAATACCCTGATGCACTCTGTAAGGTGGCTAGTATGCGGGTGGTTATGGTCACATGTTTCTGCTACCTCTACATGGTGTCGCGTCCATGTCATTGTACTGCAGGGGAGAGGAGGATGTGAAAGTGAGAGGGAGGGTGCTCTGATGTTTGCTCCGGCAACAACTGTTCTAGGCTTTGATTTGTCAAAAGAATAGGATTAGCACAAGGAATAAAGTAAAGTTTTGGTCGGGTCCAGAGTCAAAGGCAAGACTTTGTTTAATGTACAAAATTACCGCAAAGCAATCATCACAGAAGCAAGAGGTAAAGGGGAAAAATGGGGGGGGGGGGGGGAGGGAGAGAGATAGACAGATATGAGGAAGATAGGGAGAAGAAAGGAGACTGATACTCACAGTGATAGGGATTAGGGAAAGAAACTAAGAAAGAGACAGAAAGGAGTATGAGGCAAATAGAAAGACAGAGACAGAGACATAAGAGAGAGAGAGAGACAGAGAAAAGGGGGGGGGGGGGGTGGTTGAAACATGACAGCTTCCTCCTCGCACCAATATCTTATAACATTGAGTGAATGGAACCTAGAGATAGCCCATAAATAAATAAATAAGAACAAGAAGTGCCCTTGTCGGTGCCAATTTAGTAAAATGAGGTTCCAATTCGCTGAGATTGGATGAATGTTCTGCGTATGCACTAAATGTAAGCTAAAGTTCTATGTGGCGGGCCCGCCTGCAATAGTATTGTAATTGTGCAGCGGTTTGTTGTGAAACATGTGAGAAAGTGTATAATATAATATCTTGGTTTTTAGGAAAATTGCTCCAAAAGAGAGACGAAAATTGACACAAAACATGTAAGAAACATAACAACTTTTAAATCATGACCATTATTTGAACAATTGATGAAGATTTAGATCTAGTTAATTTTCGGTATGTTTTAGTAGGGTGTCTGAACAATTTTTCAATTTTCAATTTGGGATTGTTTTTCACCATTTTTGTTGGATATTTGAATGAAAAAATGTAATCAGAGTAATACATTTCAAATTTCAAGACTCACCGATGTTCCTATCAAAAGATACAGCCCCTCAAAAACCCTGCAAAATTCATAGCATTCTGGTCAGAATGGACAAAAAAGTGGTTCATGCCGAGTTATCATTTTTTGCTCAACAACTACATTCTAATGCATTTAATAGGCTATATGCAAAAAGTGGGGGAAGGTATTTTCAAACTTAAATCCTACGTGATCCCTTGGGGCTAGCGAAAAAAAAGAACATCCAACATATTCCTTACGATTTGAACTAATTATCCCTAGGGGGGTCGATTCTCAAAAGTTGGAAATCTCCCGAGTTGCCATGGAAACACATTTAAATCGCTGTTTTGACCAAGATATTTTTAGAATTCCGAGATGCAGCCCCTTTGGAAATATGGGGATTCACCTGCTCTTTCATATGACACCTCATTTATTGAGTATCACCTTCAGGATCACAACAGATTAAGGTTTGAATCTAAATTTATTTTTAAAAACTTGACCAATTTTGCAATGCACATAGACTCTATAGGGATGTGTGCAATGTCATTGGGAAGGGTTTTATCACACAAAACATGGTGCGTGTTCAGACACCCTACCTAGTTTTAGTAGGCCATGCCGGACTTACGGGTAAATGGATACGAAAGTTCACTAGCGCAGCTAGCGCCTAAAGTTCTACTTCTAACTGTTAGATCTAGACCCCTTCGTGCAGAGTGAGAGTCACACTCACAGAGTGTCACAGTGTTGTAACTTGTACGAGAGCTCGAGAGATCGAGAGTTGACATGAAAATAGATCTAGATCTAGATCTATGAATTTGTGTTTTGTTTGATTAATTCAAATTTCAATCGCAACTTTAATTTTTAAATTTTTTTAAATTTATCATAGATCTAGACCTAGATCTACATGTAGCTCTCCTAAGAATTTCGGAAGGACTTAGTTTGGTGATTTTGTGTTTGGAAAAGGCACAGTATGTAGAGTCTATGTTAGTATTGGTGCCAGTGTCGGTGCGGTGCGGCGCCAGTGCAGTGCAGTGATGGCGGCACTGAAGTCCCGATGTTGCGCGCTGCATGTACCATCCACTTACCACACAGAATTTCCAATATGTGGGACTCACCTCCTGATTTGGAAATGTTGACGGCTTTTGGGCTGCCTCAAGACTGAAGTTCTGAACACTGGACCCCTGTGGACTTGCTTCCTTCAAATTCTTAATTTTCAGCTGATGATAGGAGTCCCGATGATACAAAATTGCCCCAACTGAAGGGAAACTTCGTCTTCATTGGCTAGAAGTTCGAAGGGTCTTGACTTTGTTTACTTTGATTTTGAAAATTAAAAAGATGCACGTGTTGTACGCATGCGCAGCTAGCTTGCTTGGAAGAAAAAAGTTATGGCAGGTTCTGGCTCCTCCCCCATTTACATGTATTTCACTTTATCTATTTATTTATATATTTTGTTGAACTTTTTTGTATCTATATATTCATTTATTTATTTATTCGTTTATTTATTCATTTATTTATTCATTTATTCATTCATTACATCTACAGGGTGGTTTCATCAGTGTTTGCAACACGTTTACAAGAAGGCCCTGTAAATTAACAAATATAATACATGCATTCCACAGGCATCCAGCAGCTAGTACTTTAATATAATTGTTATAACTTTACATTCGTACAAGTCTTCATAGGGTTAGCATGTTTCTAGGGAAAATTAATAGAATATTTCAATAAAGCTTCGAGTTGTTTGCACGGATTTGAAAACAAATCGATCAAACAAACAATTAGAAGCAATTCAAGCAAACAATATACAAGACAAAAATTGCAACCCATATCAATCAAAGTTAGAAAGGTTGTCATGCAGCCCTAACGTAGCTATCAGGTTTAGCACCAGAGCCCGCGAAACAACTTTTTTCTGTACATTACAAATTTTACAAGCATATATATGCGCAAACAAGGGCGGGGGGGAGGGGGTGTCGTAAAAAAAAATCCTTCTGGATGAGGTGTCAGTTTGTCAGATGCCCCACACAATTTGGGGGCATTTTTTTTTCTCGTTAAAGAAGTGTCCCTTTTGCAGCCAACATTAAATTCTGTAGAACTTTGCAGGAGTTTCGAATATGTCATATATGCCTGTGTTACTGTTAGCAGTGTCCTAGTATTCAAATGATGCAAGGAAACCCGTTTCCTTTCTAGACTTCCCTGTCAGACACTATTGAGTGACTGACTGACATCTTTTTTTTCTTTGGTAATAACATATGAATTGAGCTGTTACAGGTAGGCCTACGTGATCATTTGTCTACATCAATGACCCACTGATTGTAATGGCCAAAATTAAACTGATTGAATCTTTTTGCAGCACAAACGTACGACCATTCGGTACAAGGGTCTGAACATCAGACTATTACTTAGGTGATTGCAATCACTTATGTCGATTCGACAACAACAAAAATCTATTTTCAAACCCTTTGGGTCGGTTTTCGGTTCGAGGGAAGTTCTAAATAAGTATTGTCTTATAGCAAATGCTTTTGGAATTTAACTTTTTCATTTTTTGACCTGCAAATGGGACTTAGTAGTCTTATGGACAAAATTTTTGGCAAAAGGACATTGCAAATTTGCAATTATTCTGCTGTAATTACATCATCGGGAAGGGGTGTAGCACTAAACATCAGCATTCCCCAAAATAAATTGATAGAGCTTTAGGTTTTCCCGAAATAAAGAAGTCAATGAAAATGTATTTGGTTCAATGAAATAAGATTGTCAGACAGGTATAGTACGTAATTTTAAATGTTTGTATTACTTTTAAAGATGGTGTGTCCCATTTGCAGGCTGAAAATATAAATGTGTGTAAGTCAGAAGGTAGACAAGAGGTAATGCTATCTATAACTGCTCTTAAACTGCACATGGTGTGTCCCTTTTGCAGGATGAAAGTATGGTTGAAATCCTAAGGTAAATAAGAGACGATACCAACTAAAATCACTTCTTTAAACTTTAGAATTGATAATTGCCTCTATGTGGAATTATATCAACAAGTGGACAAAAAAGCCTACAAAATATCTGAAATTTCAGACCCTTGTACTGAACGGTCGTACGTGTTGTGCTGACTACGGACTCAATCAGTTTTAGCTAAAACGCTGGACTTAATTGAATTGATATGGCTTTATTGAGGTCATGGTGTGTATTTTCCTTGCTGACTTTAAATTACAAAAAAAAAAAAAAAAAAAAAAAAATTATTTATTATCCCATAACGAAGTATGACTAAAAGAAATTATCATTAATGAATTTATACTCGGGATATAGAACACAACACGAGTGATATATAGTACTTAAAAGGGAGGGTGCCATTTGAGAGAATTGTGATTTTTGTTATCATTCATGCGTTCATTCATGCATTTCCTCATGAGTTCTATCTATATACTCTTATTTTTACATAATTTCAGCGTATGTCCGTGTGTGTGTGTGGGGGGGGGGGGGGGGGAGGGCTGCTTCACGAGGTTAAATCTATTTGTATAATGGTACTTTTAAATGTTCGACAGTGCACTTGATGTCCATATTTATTAACTTTTGTTTCGGCTCCAGTACACAGTAATCACTTTACGACTGTGGTAAATGCAACAATAATATTCATCACATAGTCACTGATGCTATTTCAGTGACAATCCAAGGCCGCCTCTGGAATAACACCTTCCACTGTTTCTTGATTGCAATACCTCACAGTAGAAATCATCCCTGATTGCAAAACTTCAACAACGAGGATATATCCGCATAAACAATTCGAATGATTTTGTTAACTATATTGAGTCAAGTTTTCAGAGTGCAACCACGTTATCAAAAATAAAGTATAGCGGAGCTTACGTGTCAGAATGTTTGGATTTCTTCTTTTCATACTTTCCCTGTGCCTAAGTGTAAATGGTATTTTAGGCGATGAAAACTTCACATTTACTGTAGACGAATTAGATGAGAGATCTGCTAAAGGTAAGTATTCTATTGTTCAAGTCAATATCAGCTACCTAAATTTCACATGTTATATTATACATAAGTTGCCAATATGCTTTTTTTACGGCACGACACTCTTGAGATTAAAACTACAAAAAGATTTGACGTTTTTAAGATGTATTCCATAATTTAGTTTTGTCAAATTTTTGGAGTTGAATCTTTAAACAACAGCGGATGAGTCCGTGAACAACAATCATTTTCGGCTACATAGGATCAGTGGGAAATATAGATTCAAAGTAAATTATATTTCCATAATTCTTTTTTTTTTTTAATCGGAGGCTACTAAATACTATTGGAAATTCGCTCTTAACCTACATTGTATAAATGTTTACAATACTATAAAATGTGAACGCTACATTATTAAAAATCAGTAAATATTACGATTTATGTTTTGAAAATATGAATGTAACTATTATATTTTTCGAACGCCCATATATTGTTTTTAGCAGCTAACAAATTTAAAGCATCTATAGAGTAACGCGCCATTATTCATGTTATTGTTCATGAATATTTAATGAAAAACTTTACTTACAAACGAATATATCACGAAATAAAAAGTATAATATTCTGAAGTAATGAAGTACAATTCAAATATTTGCCTCAATTATTACTCGTTTTAGATAAAGACCTTTTTTTCTTTTACAGATGGTGATTACCTCGGTTGCTTTCCTCAAGGATGCTTACACTTCGACTACGTCGTCAATATCTCAGAGGCCATCACACCCGACTCCTGCACTGCAACATGTAAAGAACATGGATTTCCATTTGCAGGTGTTTACAATGGCACTCAATATTCTTGCTCCTGTGAGCAAACATGTCGTTACAAACGACTGGATGACGATAACTGCGCCTTGCCATGTCGATCAGCCCCACGTAAATTTTGTGGCGGTTTTACTGCTGTGAGTGTGTATACCGGTAAGCATAACGTTATCTAATTTTGTTTTCTTTTCATTAATAGTTAAACATGACTTGAGCAGGATAAACGCATTTTATAAGGTGAAAATATAAACAATCATTTGCATGGTTGTATTTTCATCAGTGATGTATATCGTCCCATCATTCTGATACTGTCGGGATTCAATCATGTAACAACAATCGCCATTTGCAGTAGTGAATACATGATTACAGTATCTCGCACCCTTTCAGCCATTTCTACTCTATTCTATCAAAATGAAATCATACTCTATGAAATAGCAATACGAGTTGGTTAAGAATGTCTCCTTGGCTTATAATTTATCCAGTTGAGGATTTGGAGAGACATTGATCTTTCAAGAAATACAGTACCTATGATTGCAGGCCTTGCAGCCATGTGACACTATTAACTGTATTGCAAAGTTGTAAGATCACAATGTCAGTCACGTAAACTTTCTTAATGTATTTTATTTTAATTTGATAGTTATTGTAATCAAACAAGAAACCGTGAGTATCATGATACATCTTTCCTCTTTTTGCACTCTATAGTTCGCCCTTCTGTAACACCAAGTAACACATCCTGTGACAGAGGAGAAATAAAAGATAATTCAACGTCCCACGGTAGGTGACAATGAGTAATAACTATTCATTTCCACGCCTGTTTTTTCACAACTTGGTTACTTTTATTATAAGACTATTTTCTGACTATTGATGGTTTTGAGATGCAATTCGCTTCATAAATAAAGGCTTATAAAAGTACACATTTATAACAGTTTACATTGTGTGACTTCGTTTTGTTTTCATGTTTTATTGTCAGAAAGTGCACAGAAAGTACACGAGTCCACCGAGAAACAAACTTTTATCGCCAGGAGAACCATGCACATTCCAATATTTAGGGAATTATGATTAATTTACTTTCAAATTAATAGTGTTATATCTTTAGAATAACCTACATTTTTTTATAACACATCCTCATTTAAAAAAAAATACCTTTGTGCGGTCTTCAAAAGTGTGAGCAATATGTCAATACCTATCACCTCTTCTTTTTTTCTTCCTACAGATCCCCCATCACCACCATTCGGCACAATCTACTTTGCAGTAGCCATTGTCGTTGCAGGCGTATTGGTAACAGTTATAACTAAAAAATGCAGAGAAAAAATTAACACGGAGCGTCACCGGATGAGCGTTCAGGATAACCGTGTCCAAGACAGAGATGACCGAGTGGCAACAGGTACGCAATACCAGCCGCTTGGGGCAATGCCAAAGCTTCCAGAGATTCTACAAGCAGGTGCAACAGCAGCGGCGTCATCAGGTACAGAAGTGAAGGATGGCATCTACGAAGAGCCTGACCTTGGCGGAAGTTCTGTACCTACAACAGGTAGTGTACTAGCTCACGAGTATCTGGTCTTGGGCCAAGAGGTTTCTTCAAGGAGCAGATCATCCGACGAGTACC